TATATATATATATATATATATATATATATATATATATATATATATATATATATATATATATATATATATATAAATTAATTAATCATTCAGATTCTCCTTTTAATATTTTATTGAAATAAATCTCTTCACTATGGTATAATATTGCAAATCCAAGAGCTAGATGATGAATATAATTTGTTTTGATAAAAATATTTATAACTTAATTATTTTTCCTAATCGAAGCTCCGTTATTTATACAATAGTGGTAGAGTCAAAATTTTAATACAATACTAATGAGAAGCAAAGTGTCGCTATAATCAAGTGTTTTTATAGAAATCATTAGCTTTTATTCAAATCTTATATTTATGTTCAAAATATATACTTAATATGTAAAACAATCTATATAAAATCTTGTAAGCAAAATAGTTATTGTTTAAATTCATAAATTAAAAATTATAAAACTATCGTTCTATCAATAATATGATATAACATAATTTTAGCAAGCTATTTATCTTTTTTCTTTTTAAACAAGTGAAAAATGAATTAAGTACTTACCAATCAACACATATAACTTACGGAGTGTTTGGTTTAAATATGGTAAAATAATATTTTGCTAGTTTTTATTAATAATTGAATACCAAGAAATGCATATATTAAGTCTTAAATTTCTACAAAAGGAAAACTTAATTAATTCTTTTGAAAGCTATTTTAACTTATTGAACTCAATGGCATCTTAATAAATTTTTGAAATATGTGCACTATTAATACTAAAGTTAAGCTATCTGGAAATTTACTCAATCCTATCTGCATTTATCACCCACACTCAATTTCTCACTATGTATACATAATTCATCGATATTCAATTTCACAAAAACTCTCCTTCATTTGCACTCTCCTCTCTCTGTTTTTTTTGAGAAAACGAAAAAAAATGTTGATGATGTGGCGTAAACTGAAGAAGGTGCTCTCACTTAAGCGTAAGGACAACAATTCCCCCAAATCACCTGCTATCCCTGCATCGTCGTCCTCCTTGTCCCGTTTACCTAGCCCCACCGCACAATCATCCAAGGTTC